CCCTTCTTGCCCTCAGCCCTGCCTTCCACAAACAGCCCTCCCCCCCCACCAAATTCCCTCTGTTCTTTCCTTGCCCTGGTCCCCATCATCTCACCGTGTGCACAAGGTCGAGAGAGAATATCTGGATGCAGCAAACAATGGCAGAGAGGGCACAGACAATGGCAGCACAGACAGTGAGGCCGCAGACACTGAAGAGAAGGTTCTGAAGAAATGAAGGAGGAAGGGGAGTGGGTGCACAGGGAGGGCAGTGGCACTTGGGCCCAGCTCATACTTTGTTCCCGAGCATGGGAGTGGTGTGCCTGAGAAGAGGGGACGGCAACTCTGTATGTGTGCAGTTGAGAATAGAGAAGACAGGTGGGCACAGGGTCTGAGACAACGTTACAGGGCTGAGGCAGGGAGATGTTCTCTTTCTACAAGGGAAGCTCACCTTGAGAGCCCCTAGAGCATCAGCACAAGTTGTGCTAAGGGATATTTTCAGCTCCTGGCCGGAGTCCCTGCAGGGTCTAGGCAAGTGAAAAGAGGGGCAGCAGACACAGACCTTTCCTTCCTGGGTTGGAGGGCAAAATTGGACAGGCCTGAGTTAAGGGCAAAACCAGGTATCCAGCCCCCTGGACCTTCCTGGAGTTCCTCTTCCCTTCACCTTACCATTGAGCACTCTTGGAAATCCCGTGCCAACTGAGCATTCTTACAGGAAAGGACGGAGCCAGCCAGGCTGAGCATGACACACAGTACGGAGAGCAGGGAGAAGAAGGAGATCTAGGGGGCACAGAGGGTATCAGGCTGAGTGCAGGGGCTAAACCACAGGTGTTCCCAGGAGCTTACCTCCCTGTGGGTGCCCTGATCTAGGTGATTTGTCACTCTTGATGAGTCCCAGGAAGTAAATCCTACCCACCAGGCACTGTGGAGGTTATTTCCTCTTTTAGAGGACATGAGTGGGCAATCCCCCCATTGGGCATCACAGAGTCCTCAATATAAGTTGGTATGAGTGGGCACTGCTCCCCTTGCACCTACCACCAGAGTGAATGGTCTCTTCCATGATACGATGCCAACTACCCCTGAGAATGCCAGCTGGAGACAGAGTGGGCACAAGCTCAGGCTCAACCTGGCATGAGGAGGACATTTCCAACCCCTTGTCCCCACCTCCCCCTTCCTTCAGTACCCACCCAGCCAGAGACAGAGACAGAAGGATCTTAGGCCTGGAGGGGCATAGGTCAATAGGGTTACCAGGGCACCACCTTCTCCAGTTGTCAGGCAATGCCATGAAATGGGAAAAGGTAGAGAGAGGGGAGGAGGACATTAGGGATCTGGATTACAGGCTGGGGGAGGGGACGGTGGGGAAAAACAACAAAGGACCTCTCCTTATCCCTCAGTACTCACCGAGAAGCCAGCCCATGATGGGTAGGACCTCTTTATGTTTTCTGTGGAGGTGACTGAAGAAGCCACCATGCTGAAGGTGACCACCAAGACACCTAGTATCACCTGGGCCAGCCCCAGGGTAAGCAGAGCTTGGAGCCAAGGCCGGTGGAGCCGGAGATGGGTGAGGCCTCTGGTACTCGGCCGGCTGGTCAGTGAATGGCTTGAATCACTGGGTGAGGGCATTGTGCCCACCCCCTTGGAGCCTGCCTCTGTTGCAGTCCCCCCTGGCACCTGAGGGCATTTCAATTAAACCCAAGGGCCACTCCCTTCTTCTCTCCACCTATTCCCCCACCCCCACCCCTTAGCCAAGGAACCCACCCCCTGCCTGGGTCCCAGGGTGCATGGCCCAAATGTTCCAGTTAGAGGGATGTCAGAGGGCACTTGAAGAGACTGGGGTGGGATGGGGGGAATCTGCTTGTCCCCCAGGGACGGAGGTCACGTGGGGGCAGCAGGAGGCTCTCTCCCCACAGCAGGCAGGGGGTGGGCACAGTGCCCGGGGGCAGCTCGAAGGGAGGGGGGGCACCGGGTTCATTCCTTCGCCCTGGGGAGGGGGGGGGGGGGAGGGGAGCAGGGAGGGGCCAGGTTCCCCCAGGGAGGATGGAAGGTAAGCTCTAGGATGCTAGAGAAGTGTCAGTAGGGACAGGGAACGGGGTACAGAAAAGAGTCTGGGGAAATGGGGTGGGGGGGTAGAGAAGTGGGGAGGGTCGGGAGGGAGGGTTTGGGATAAGACTGGAGACGCTGATGCGTGCCGGATGATGCCTGCGGGTGGGGGTGGGTGGTCGGCCCGGTAGGGTCTCGAGGCCTTAGTGGGGTGTCCCTTAGAGGTCCGGGGCTTCTTGACGGGGTATGGCTCCGCTGCAGTGCCGTCTCCCCGGGCGGCCAGCCCAGCTCGGCTCCCCGGGATCCTGGCTGCAGCAGGTCCAAGAGGGAGGAAACGGGGTTGGGGGGGAGGGATGGGGGATGGAGAGGAGGGGCGGGGTGAAAAGGGCTAGCGCTGAGCAGTCTGGGAGCTGTAGTCGGGTCCTGGAACCACTAAGGTGGGGAGGAGGGGGCCGCCTGGCGAGAGGAGGGCGGGGCTGGCCCCGCGCCCTCCCCATCCCCTCCCCCCCTTATTCTGGTTTTGTGGTGCCCATCCAAGTCGGAGCCATTCACGCCAGACCTCGCACTTATCATCCCATTTATCTTCGGAGCCCATCCTGCCCCACCCTACTCCTGCCCTCCCCCAGGGAAAGAGCTGGTTCTGGGCAGCTGCGGCTTCTCCCAACCAGCTAATGGAGGGTGGAGTCTGGGGAGGGCCCTCTCAGCAGCTTGGCTTTTCTGAGCTCATCCTAGGCCTGGCCCTAGCCCACCCACCCACCTCTTGGCCTTAAACCACATCTTTCCAGGTTCCTAGTCTTCATCCTCAAACCCTTCCGTCCCGATGTCCCCACAAAGACACAGAGGCTTGCTTCCAAGTTCTACTTTCCTTTATTTAAATAACTGAAGCATTAGCCTTGGCACAGCAGAGAGAAGCAGGGGCTCCCAAGGTGAGGTGAGGCCTGGACAGGTGGGACAGGGGCAGGCAGTGGTTGGGACTGGGATCAGTACCCCAGCTTCCCCTCACCCTCTTGGGCAGGCCTGTTCTCACTGCCACAGAGATTAAGGAGGAGAGACAACGAATGAAAACACTTCTCTCTCTCCAAAATCGATCCCGGGGAGAGATGAAAGGGGAGTAGAGCCAACTTCATCCAGAGCCAAGGTTGGGGTGCACCAGCCAGGGAAGGAGATAAGTAGGTGAGGAAGAGGAGAACATTATGGGGTCCGGAAGGCATTGTTGGCAGCACCTGCAGCTGCATTGGCCGCAGCCGTTCGGACTGCAGGGTTGGAGAAGACACCGGCCGCAAACTCCTGCTGGGCCTTCTGGAAACTGGCACCTGTGCGGCGGTACAGGGAGTGGATCTGGGTATTGTGAGAAAGGGGAAGGACTTTAACATGGTGACAGCCACATGCAGGCTGCTCAGCCTACCATTACTAAGGGCCAGCTTTCATCTGACCAATTATCTCTTCTGTCATTCATCTGCACCACCCAGCGAACGCTTGTAAGCCATGACTCTTGGGAACAAGGCAGCAAGGGGGATCCAAAGGTGAGTGGTGAAGAAGCATGTAGAAAAGGGTGATGAGTGACTCTTGAGTTAAACTCAGATGTCCTCAGATGCCCCCAGGAGGCTGACCCTAAACCTTTAGCATCCGATTACCAAGGGGCCCATCCCCTCTCTGTCCTGGCTCCAGGCCCTGCTCACAATGAGATTGGCCCAAATGATAATGAGCACACTGATGCCCCTAACAGTGATGGGGGTTATGAGGAGTAGGGAAAGCATATGCACCAGTTCTCTTCTTTGGCTCCCTGCGGCCCCTTCCATACCTAACAACTGGCTCTACCTTCCCTTTCAGTGTTCATCATATTAAAACCGATTCAACAAAAACTACATATCTATCACATGCAAGGCATTGGGGAAGATACAATAAGACCCAGACCCCGCTCTCCAGTCCCTGTGCATCCAGCACCCTGTAACCAGCCTATACTTAAAATGCCCCAATTTCTTTTCCCTTCACAAAAGACCCCCACATTCCTCCAACTTCCCAGCCCTGCCCCAGTCCCCTGCCCCTCATTACCCGTTTCAGCATCACAATGCCCAGCACAGCAATGCCAGTAAAGAACAAGGCGACTAGCAGCATGAGGACGCCCACAACTGTGTTGATCCTCAGCACCGTCAGGGCCCAGATCCAGCCACTGTCATTGGAGAGAGGAAGAGAAGGGAAGCACGTGTCACAGCCAGGCCCGCCGGGGTGTCTCTTTGGGTCCCCTCATCAATTTTCTTTCCAGTTTCCCATCCATCCAGTTAAAAGTCCCTATCATCCAGATCCCATCAGCACATGTGGCCCCACAATTCCAAATCTGTAACAGCTGTCTTTCTCTTCCTGCTCAATCTCAACGTTCTTAGCAATTTCTCTCCTATGACTCTACGTGTCACAGCCCAGATTGGATTATTTACTTCAGTGTACTCTATTTACTCTCTCACTGCTGGACCTCGAGAACTCCTCTCTCCATTCCTTTTCCTGTAACACTGTCCTTTCTGCTTACATTCCCTGTTCTATACTCTCCTCTTCCAGGAAGCCTTCCCAGGCTGACCAACTACAGATTTTCTCTTAATCACTCATTCCCATCACTGAGGTCTAGAGCTCTCCAATCAATTTTCTGACTTCTTAGGAATTCACTCTGTCTCCGTCAAACTAGAAGCTGTTAGGACCTTAGCACAGTGCCTGGCACACAGTAGGTGTTTAATAAATGTTCACTGACCAAATGACTAGGGAGCTCCTTTTCTTTCTCTGGATGCCATTCTTTTCTCATTTTCTTTCTTCTTGCCACCTGATAAGAGTTCTGCCTATATGGAGCACTCATGACAAACAAGAGAAAGGGCACAGGGAGAGAGTGGACAGACTAACCTGAATCCTGATAATGGGATGCCAATGGCCGCCAGCACATATATCACATCCTGGACGAAGAAAATGAAGAAGAAAATGAAGAAATTGAATGAACTGTCGCTCCTGCAGGGGAACAGAAAGAGATAGAAGGAAGAGATGTTAGGTATAGGGGCAGACATGGGGCACACCCAACAACCTTCCTCTCTCCCACAGTCCCATCCTTGCTCACCTGAAAGCCTTGTACATAGGGCGGTACCAGCAAACAAAGGAGCAGGGCGTGAAGAGTAGGGCCCAGAGGATGGAGAGCCCAAAACTAGAGCCACTGGAAATAGGGGTAACACAGAAAGAGGCCAGGCAGGCAAGGAAATTCAGGAGAAGGGCCAAGGTACTGCCTGGGTTGGGGAGGGAGAGAAGCAAAGGGAACAGTGTCAACATGGATGAAAATAAAGTCTACCTCAGTATTAACAACCCATATCCTCATCTCCATTGCAAAAAAAAGATGTTAAAGAAGTGTCCAGCAGCTAGCTCTGCAGCCATATTTCCACAAAGCCTTCACAGTTACAGCTAGCTGAAAATGTTCTTCAACTTTTCCTAGAGAGTGGATTTCTTCTTTGTCCCATCCCACCCCGCCTGATATTTATTTATGTGTACGCTGCATCTCTCCACTAGTCACATATTGATGAGAATGTAAGCTCTATGAGGGTAGGGGCTATGTCATTTTTTACATTTCCAGTGCCTATCATATAGTAAGGACTTAATAAATGTTTGTTAAATTTGAGTGAATAAATTAACAAATGTTTATACAGCATTCCCATAGCAGAAATTCATAAAAAGGGAAAAGTCTATCCTAGAATCCTCCAAACTTGGGGCAGCTACATGGCGCAGTGGATAGAGCTCTGGCCTTGGAGTCAGGAGGACCCGAGTTCAAATTTGACCTCAGACACATAATACTCAGTAGCTGTGTGACTCTGGGCAAGTCACTTAACCCCACTGCCTCATCAAAAAAAAAAAAAAAAAGGAATCCTCCAAACCAATGGCAAATTACAGATCAAGCAAATAACAAATATGTGTGATACGTGGGGAACTGCACTTAGAGGAAAGGAGTGGGAAGTCAGAGATATGTGGGCAGGCTGGATAATGGGTTCTGGTGGTAGTAGTGGGATCAAGGAAGAAGGCTTCCTAAAGGAGATAGCCTTGAGATATGATGGCAAATTAGTTAGAGATACTATTTTATGACAGGTAGAAAGAAATTTAGATATATGAGATGGCTTGGAAGCAAAAGAGGGAAGTTTCAGGCTCTCTTTTCCTCCCTGAAAGATACTCTTACTCTTGTACCTAAACAAAGCCCTGTAGTTCCCCACCACTCACACATCCAGAGGTAGTACATAGTAGACACTGTCTTCTGGAACTCCTGGGGAATCTCCATGGAGACGTCATGGAAGAAGCAAGGTTGGACAGGGCAAAATGACGGCACTGGAGGCCAGTTGTTCTGTCGGGCTGCAAGGCATAGAGTGGCCAGGTGAGAAGGATACTAGAAGGATGTCAGAGACCAAGAGAGTCAAATTCAACAGATGAATTTCTCTATTCTCCATCAGAAGGTTCCAACTCAGAGACCCATGAACGGTGCCAGTGAGAGAATGGTAGGAATGGCATTAAGTAGAAATAATCCCTATCCCTTTCGTGCTCATTTCAGAATGTTAGAAGATGTCACTCCCTGCCTGCATCCCACAAGAGCTGGCATGGTGTTTTGTTGCCATCACCAAAGACTTACTGGCAGAACCCAGGGCTGCATGCCGCAACTCCCTCTCCCTCCGGTCCAGCTCCTCTGCCTTTCGATTGAGCTCCTCCTGCCTTTTCAGAAGTTCTGCGGTGGCTGCTGCAGCTGAAGCCTACCCAGAGAGAGAAAGGCAGAGGATGAGTCAGTCCTGGGACTGTGTACCCTAGGGATAGCGCTGAAGGGCATTGCTTAGCCCCAGGTACTTCTTCACACACAATACCTGAGTGTTATAGGAGCCATAATTCTTAGGTTCTGTGGGGCTG